AATGTTTTTATTAAGCAAGTCAAATTAAGCGAAGTTTATTTATAAACTAATTTCGAGAGGATCACGTGCTTAATCAACACGGCTGGCTCCTTATTAGCTTCGTAATCAGCCTTATTAGATGATTACGGAAGCACTTTAAATAACCCGAGTTTCTTACTCCAGTTATCTTCGTCTTGAAGCTCCCCCCTTTCCACCCCTTCTTGACCAGCTAAATCCGGATAAAACCAGCTTAAACAGCCTGGTTTAAGCTGGACATAGCTGGTTTTGGCTGGGTTCCCAGCCTGGCTAAGCTGGTCAAGCTGGTTTTAGCTGAACATCTCCCAGCCTGACCAGCTAAGATGGCCAAAACCCCTCTAAAACCAGCCTGGTCGACCAGCTAAAACCAGCCAACCAGCCTGGGCTGGTTTAAGCTGTTTTTTTCAGTAGGGAAGTGTTGTAGTGTTGACACTTTTATTTAGCGTTGGCCACGTTTGTGTTGGTACAAGTAGGAAACTGGCTCATATTGTGCTTTGCAGTACAATAAAACCATAGACTGTAAAATATATGGACGTAGTATCCATGACGTCACCCATAAGTTTCTGAAGAGCACAAATGAAGCGACAAATGGGCGTGGCCAACTCGGGCCATTTTGTGCATGCATTATCGCACTGACCGGGATAACTAAGGAGGGCGGAGAGTTATGCCGAGTTCAGAATGCATGATTTCAGCCCCGATTTTTTGGTTTTGATAAATCGACAAATGCCTTAAATCACAGGCAAACTGGTGCTCATTTCCGCAAGTAACAATCACACAGTGTGAACTATCTATCCCGCTATCATCCCGTAAAGGTCTTTTCCCGTATTTTTAGTGATTCTCTGAAGGGTGGCAAATAAACAGTGATGAGTCGAGCCTCCCATACGCAACCCAAACGCTAGACCAGTCATGCAGAGTGAAAACATCTGTGACACGACTACTTTTAAAATCAGGCAGATGCTTCGGGGAGTGAAATCTGAGAGAGAAAATAAGATTGTGGGTAAAAATAAGAGTTCTACAATCTTCCTTTGGATTAGTCCCTACCGTTATTGGTTATGTCTCGACAAGAGACTAAAGTAAACAAGCTTTATTTTTATGATGTGTGTCATTGTGTCAGATTGCACACCTAACATAGCAGGCTAGCTAATATGGTAAATATATATAATAATTCACATAAATATTTATGTTATTGTCTGCAAATTTCCGGGAATTACCACCACAAAATCCGTCATTTCTATTGCAAAAAAATTAAAAATCACAAAAGAATAGTGTGTTTCTCAAGAAATAGACTATAGATATAGATATAGAAATAGAAATAGATATAATCTCATAATATTTGAGATATTTGAGAATTGTGTTTATCATTCACTCATTTTATTGTGTGCAAACACGCATCTTAAAGTGTAAATCAGTCCTTTGGGACTTCATATTGACATGCTAGACGCTGTAGTCAGCATCTGTTAGTATAGAAATCTATATCTACAGCTGTCATTGTGAAAAGGGATGAAAAGTAACTGGAAATTATTCCTAAGCTTATGTCCATCACGTTGTTCTAGTCGTTCCACATCCCAAGTGACCAAAAACCTCATGAAATCTCATCTGGCTTAAAAAGCGTAGCCATTTTCCAAAAGCCTGATTTTAATCAGATTTCAAACCTCATATGGATGTGGTGTGGATGGGGTTTGTAAAATTGGGATTTCATGTGGGTATTTGCTGTTCAGACTTCGAACAGCTGATGGGATTTGAGTTGTGCTCAATATGCCAACAAAAAAAAATGCTGTTTGTTGCCTGTATGAACAAAACCAAGCGCTTAGAAAACCTTCCCAGAACTCTAGAGATGTTGCACCTTGCCAATCTATACAAGAGTTTTCTCAGATAAGTTACAGGAAATCTTTTGTGTTTAGTGTTTGTCCCAAAGTCAAGCTTTGGCAAATCAGCATGCACCCGATAATCTGGGGCCTCATGTACGAAGACTTGCGTGAAAATCATACTAAAACATTGCGTACGCACAAAGCTGTAAATGTGCGTACGCAGGAAAAAAATTCAGATGTATGAAACACTGCGTACGCCGAGTCTCACGCATATTCTTTTGTACATCTGAATGAACGTGAAACTGAGCGCAACATGCACGAGCACAAAATCCCTGCCTGGCTCCTCCCCTGTATGAATATGCTAATGACTCTACTTTGGCAAAACCCAACAAAAAAGCAACGGCAAAAGCAAGCAAAAGGAGAAACTTTGAACAGAATGTGAATTGGAGGTGCTGCTTTCAGAGGTAGGCCGGAGGAAAACGGTGTTATTTGCAAGTTTGTCCTCCGGAATTAACAACAAAAGAAAAAGATAGAGTGGGAGAGTTTAGCTGATACGGTTAACACAGTTGGGTCTGAACGTCGCACTGTGGAGTTTAAAGAGAAATAGTGTGGTTTATATGTGTAAAATGTTGCAATACCCTTAACAGACTCAGTGGCGCAGCTCGTAATACGCATGTCAGCATGGTTTGACACGTTCGAGCATGAACTCGGTTAAATCCAGCGTCTGATGAATTCTTTCTTCTTTTTTCCCCGCTACATATGAGATTTTGCCAACTATTTATCACGAGAAAGACAAGTAGGAACCATCAATAAGTCTGTGCATCATATTTTATTTGCACATCTATTGAATGGAAATGTTTCTGATTCACGCATGCAAATTCATCTTCAGATAGTGTCTTTATAGCAATGTGTGTGCAGTAGATCACTCAGATTACATTGGGAAAACAGGCGACCGCTGCAAATTGCGCTTTAATGTTTGGCTGGTCAACTGTATGGTATGGAAACCTTATATACCTGCTAGATGAACCCGTCTCATACAGCTGCCATTGCAAGGCTCAGACACTTTGTAGAGAGGAATTTAACACAACTGCCTCTAGGAGTCGCCAATGGAAATAAAACACATACGCACAAAAAATGTGCGTACGCCAACCAGAAAGCTGCCGTGAAGCTGCGCACATTCCCACGTTCAGTTCATTGTTATTAAATCCAAACGTGAGCGATTCTGAGCGTGAAACCTGGCGTACGCAAAGTTTTTGTGCGTACGCAGCGTTGATACATGAGGCCCCTGGTCTCTTATTTATAAAGTTTGAATGCACTAAAAATGCTGGGTTCCACAATTCATTCATGTTGTCCCAACGCAAATTAAATTAACTTAATAATAGTTTTTACAAATGTTGGTGAATTGAACATTAAACAATGCAGTTGTGCTCAAAAAACTAAATAAGTAATTTGGACAAGCAGCAAAGGTCAAAGTCTTTGAGTGCGTACAATAGATTTCTTCTTGTGCCAATCAGAGTTATGCCATATTTTTGCGACTAATCACATAGCATTTACAGCTCCGATTATTGCCTGAATATCTTCATGATTTCATGATTGCAGGTTTCACATCTCGTACTTTCAAGAGCCATTATGCAAGCCAAGAATCACACACATCACACCCCCCTTCTGACCTTACCAAATGTCTAAATGAGATTAATACATGGATGACTAATAATTTCTTAAAGTTAAATGCCAGTAAAACCGAAGCCCTCTTGGTTGGCTCAAAATCTGTTTTATCCAAAGCTCAATCTTTTACCCTGTTTGTTGATAACTCCCCAGTCAATTTCTCAACCCAAGTGAAAAGTCTTGGGGTTATACTGGATGGCATGCTCTCATTTAGTTCTCAAATTAGTAATATCTCACGTTCTGCCTTTTTTCATTTGCGTAACATTGCAAGACTTCGCCCTTCACTATCTCAACAAAGTACTGAAGTGCTTGTTCATGCTTTGGTTACATCACGGATTGATTACTGTAACTCGCTTCTCTCTGGTATTCCTGATAAACAAATTCATAAACTACAGTTGATTCAGAATTCAGCGGCTAGGATAGTCACCTGCTCGCGTACTTCTGATCACATAACTCCAATTCTCTTTCACCTGCACTGGCTTCCTGTTCACTATCGTATACAATACAAAATCCTCCTCTTAACATACAAAGCTCTTCATAACCTGGCCCCTCACTATCTTTCTGATCTTCTTCATTTGTACACTCCTTCACGCTCACTGAGATCATCTTCTGCTGAACTGTTATCTGTCCCACACTTTAAGATGAAGTCATTTGGAGGCAGGGCTTTTAGTTGTACAGCACCGAAGTTATGGAATTCCCTGCCTTTGCACATTCGCCAGATGGACTCTGTTTCCAATTTTAAATCTCAGATAAAGACGTTTTTGTTTAGGATAGCTTTTAATGATTTGCTGGTTTAATTATGCTGATTGTCATTTTTACTGCTTGCATTTTTATGATGTGCTTGTAATCTGCTGTAAGGTGTCTTTGAGTGCTTTGAAAGGCGCCTAAAAATAAAAGGTATTATTATTATTATTATTATTATTATAAGAAGCTACCGTTAAGGGGACGCTCATGCTGGCATAGCTTTCTCCAGCCGACCTCCTTTGTTTGCCTTTACAACACACAGGTGTTTTTAATAGTTTCAAATACCACATCCTTATCACTCCAGTACCCCTAGCTGAAGTGCAACAATCACAGCCTTTCACTGACAGTTGATTACTGCTGCTGTCAGTAAATAAAAACCTACCGCAGGACGCTCTGCTATACGAGAGAAGCCGCAGTGTTTACCATTTACTCCAAGCGAGTCCCGACTCTTTATTTCCATCATGCTGTACTTCTACTGCCATTTTCCACAACTTCACGTCCCAGACAGGATCTATTCCAGGTTAATTCCCTCTTTCATCGGTCTCTTCCTTCAATACTGCTTGCTTTCATTCTCGAATCCTTGTGTTTGTCCATTAGTGCATCTTTATCAAATCCCAACGACCAACAACTAGAGCTGAACAATCGATATCACAATGTATCCGCAATAGTTACATCAGAGGATTAGATTACTTATTGAAGTTACCTATAAAGTTACCTATGTAATTATGTATTAATCATCTTGCGATATTAAATCCATATCACGGCAAAACCAAATATGGCCATGTCAGATTTTTCCAAAATCATTTAACCCAACCAGCAACTACTTCTGTTTGTTTGTCCAGCTCAAACATTGTTAACTCTTACACCATAGTGTGAGATTTCAGACTGAACTCTTACCCAGTTGCCCTGTCGGCCTGGATCTCCTGTATTCCCCGGCAGACCTCTGTGACCCTACGGAAGATCAGTAGAGTTGTTGAGACTCCAATATGGCGTTTATCGTGTAGGAAAACAGAAGGAAGATTTTGGCTACCTTGGGTCCTGGGGATCCCTGGACACCTGGTTGTCCATGCATGCATTTACAGGTGGCTTTTCCTCGTCCTGCAGTTAAACCGATCTCAGCATATCCTCCACACTGTTGAGGAAGGAGCCGTTCAGAACAGACTGAAAGCTCATGCAGAAGAGCAAAATGTTCACACGGCACACAGACTCACCACACTGGAGAGTTCACAGCAGCTCTCAGAGTACGCTTGATCAGCATCACAGGACACTTCCATCTTCTGCAGATCCACCTGCACATGCACAGAGATTCTAAACAGTCTATAAACCCTTTTAACCTACCAAAGAAAGCCCCTAACAAAGTTAAAATTAACTCACTCTTGAATTACTCGGCCTCATGTCATTTCAATCCACTGTAACAATCCACTGTTCATTTTTCTGTTTATTTTTTAGACACTAAGGGTGCTTTCACATGTGGTTCATTGGCCTGGACCGTACCCAAGTTCGATTGTCTCCCCTTGCCACCTCCTCGGTTGGTTTGTGTTCACACTGTCTGTTTTCCTTCTGAACCCCGGTACTCTTGCGTCATCGAGCTGCTGTTTTATTTACGGCCGTTGCTAGGTGACGGCCACGTAAACAAGCGTCAAATTGGAAAGACGTCCGCACATTGCCTCTTTCAGGCGGACTCGGGTACGGTTCACCGGTCTGCACCCGGGTTCAGAAGACGCATTCACACTAGCTATACATACCGTACTATGACGTCAAACAAACTCGGGTGCGGACCAAAAGTAATAGTGTGAAAGCACCCTAGTTAAGATATGTTAGATGACATCTGAGAGCTCCCTCATCCTTCATTGACCAGATCAGAGCACACATTGACTATGGCAATATGATGCTCGTGTATTCCACTGTGTTCATGTCGTATTATTAATGGTAAATGTGTAACTCGCTGGTTCTACATCCCTCAACCTGCTCCGAGCTGGGGCGACTCTTCCCATGGGAGTCAGTTGCTCAGACAAGGAGGCTAAAAACCATGGCCTCTAGCGTCTGTCGCTAGATCACCTTTTTGGGTTCAGAAAAGTCAGGTTTACCTGCACAGCTCTACACTGGCTGGCTTCTGATACACTCACCACCCCCATCCAGGTCACTGACACCAATGTAACCTGCCGGTCCTACACCACCCTACCTGCTTTAAGCTAAGATGGAACCGGTGATTCTCTGCAGAGGAGTGAGTTGCTCTAACAAGGAGGCTAAAGACTATGGAGTGTAGCGTCTGTCACTAAAGCACCTTATCGGGTTCAGAGGAGTGAGGTCATTAGCTGGCCTGTATTACACTTACCCCCCTCACTCCCATCCGGGTCACTGACACCAATGTAACCTGCTGGTCCTACACCAACCAACCTGGTCCGAGCTGGGATCAAACCAGCGATTCTAGAGGACCATGGCCTCTAGCGTCTGTCACTAGAGCACCTTTTTGGGTTCAGAAAAGTGAGGTGTACCGGCACAACATTTCACTGGCTGGCCTCTGATACACTCACCACCCCCATCCAGGTCACTGATACCAATGTAACCTGCCGGTCCTACACCAACCAACCTGCTCTGAGCTGAGATGGAACCGGCGATTCTCTGCAGAGGAGTGAGTTGCTCTAACAAGGAGGCTAAAGACTATGGAGTGTAGCGTCTGTCACTAAAGCACCCTATCGGGTTCAGAGGAGTGAGGTCATTAGCTGGCCTGTATTACACTCACCCCCCTCACTCCCATCCGGGTCACTGACACCAATGTAACCTGCTGGTCCTACACCAACCAACCTGGTCCGAGCTGGGATCAAACCAGCGATTCTAGAGGACCATGGCCTCTAGCGTCTGTAAGAACACCTTTTCAGGTTCAGAGTAGTGACGTTTACATCGCACAGCACTTCAGTAGCTGACCTCAGTTAAATTCACCCCCTAAACCTCTCTCCCATCCGGGTCACTGACACCAATGTAACCTGCCGGTCCTACACCAACCAACCTGGTCCGAGCTGGAATCAAACCGGCAATTCTAGAGGACCATGGCCTCTAGCGTCTGTCACTAGAACACCTTTTCAGGTTCAGAAAAGTGAGGTGTACCGGCACAACATTTCACTGGCTGGCCTCTGATACACTCACCATCCCCATCCAGGTCACTGACACCAATGTAACCTGCCGGTCCTACACCAACCAACCTGCTCTGAGCTGAGATGGAACCGGCGATTCTCTGCAGAGGAGTGAGTTGCTCTAACAAGGAGGCTTAAGACTATGGAGTGTAGCGTCTGTCACTAAAGCACCCTATCGGGTTCAGAGGAGTGAGGTCATTAGCTGGCCTGAATTACACTCACCCCCCTCACTCCCATCCGGGTCACTGACACCAATGTAACCTGCTGGTCCTACACCAACCAACCTGCTTTGAGCTGAGATGGAACCGGCGATTCTCTGCAGAGGAGTGAGTTGCTCTAACAAGGAGGCTAAAGACTATGGAGTGTAGCGTCTGTCAATAAAGCACCTTATCGGGTTCAGAGGAGTGAGGTCATTAGCTGGCCTGAATTACACTCACCAACCTGGTCCGAGCTGGGATCAAACCGGCGATTCTAGAGGACCATGGCCTCTAGCGTCTGTCACTAGAACACCTTTTCAGGTTCAGAGTAGTGACGTTTACATCGCACAGCACTTCAGTAGCTGACCTCTGTTAAATTCACCCTCTCTGACACCAATGTAACCGGCCATCGAACTGGCGATTCTTTACATGGGAATCGGTTACAGGCTACAGATCATGGCCTCCAGTGTCTGTCCTGAAGCACCTTTTCAGGTTCAGAGGAGTGAGGTTAATCTGCACAGCACTTCAGTAGCTGGCATCTGTTACAAACACACACCCCGACATGAGAGAGGAGATATAACGTCTTGGACAGCTTCTGACTATGGAGGTCTAATCAATTTTGTTTAATCAAGCTCTTACAAGGCGTTCCCTGGCTTATTGTAACAAAATGATGGTCACATTATTTCAGCCTGTTAAATCTGTATCACACCCTGTCTTACTCACCGAGACAGAGCGATCACCTACGGCTCTCTTTACGATGGACGTAAAACCTTGTCGGATCACCGGCCGTGGCTCATCCAGAGGCTCAACACTGATCTCCTCACAGTCAATAAATAGCTTCACTTGTTCGCCTTTTACACTCAATGCCAACTTGTGCCACTCTCCATCAAAGAGTTTTTCTACTCTCTGGAAGGTCCGCAGCATCTGTGTGCCCTTCGGGTTGGTGTAGAAGAAGTCCAGGGTTAGAGTGTCGCCCTGAAAGCGAAGGCCGACCTGATCTCGGCCTTCAGGGTCACTGACTTGCCATAGATTCCAGGATGTTTTAGCAGTGTCCTTGGTCACTTTAAAGGTGGCGATGACAGAGTAGTCTGATGGTAGACCGTCTGGGTAGATGTCACTAGATGGGGGGATGAAATGGGGAAAAGAGAAATGAATCAGTGCAAGCAAATTAAAAGCAGAATCAGCTAGAGGACATTTCCAAGAAGCTCAAAGTGTTTGTGTTTTTCCTTAATGAATCAGTGTTGTTGAGTGAATAATTCAGCATGTCACTCCATGAGACCTGCCTTCATGCTAAAACCTGCTGAACGAGCCACTGAATATCCCCACCACTACATGAAGTTTATGTATAAACAAATTTCGAGAGGATCACGTGCTTATGATTGCTAACAGCTGACCCGCATTATCTAATTCACTACGATCCAATCAGATGACTCCTAAACTACTATAAATACCCTGGGGTTTATTCCATTGCTATCTTCGTTTTGAAGAGTCCCCCCTTCCTCCCCTACTCCTCCTTCTTAGACGGGTGACACGGTGGCCCAGTGCCTAGCACTGTCGCCTCACAGCAAGAATGTCTCTGGTTCCTGGCTTTACCAAAACTAGCAGACATTTCTGTGTGGAGTTTGCACTTCTCCCCGTGCTCACGTGGGTTTCCCCCGGGTTCCCCGGTTTCCTCCCACCGCCTAAAAACTTGCAATTAAGTCAATTGAACAATCCAAATTGTCAACATAGACACGCTTCTAGTTAGTAATTAGTTTCAAGAGCATTCACTTGCTACAGCAGGGGAGTTCTCGCGATCTACCTGAGCTCAAACTCCCCTCCCGCCTTGCAACAGGAGGGAGCCCTGGGCTCGAGGATCTCATGAGCTCAGGGCTCTCTCCCGGGACAGCATGCCAAACAAGCTTTTATAATTAATCATCAGCTAAGTGTGAACTCTTGAATTCACTAGATACCGACAGTATGTCTGAACCATAGACTGTAAAATATATGACACAACAGCAACCACCCGGGACCTTGCAAGTTACAAATTAAGCACTGACCAGTCTGATCATTTTCTCTTTACCATCAGTGCATTTTGCCTACAGATCAGCAGCTCACTGGATATTTGATCTTTTTCTGGATCATTCTCTATAAACCAGATGACTGTGTGTGAAATTCTGCGCTATTTTGTCCCCGTGTGCATGCGTACATGCATTGATTGCTTCCATGTGATTGTCTGATACTTTCATTAATGAGCAGTTGAACAGCCGTAGGGTGACACGGTGGCTCAGTGGTTAGCACTGTCACCTCACAGCAAGAAGGTCGCTGGTTTAAGTCCCAGCTGGACCAGTTGGCGTTTCTGTGTGGAGTTGCATGTTCTCCAGGTGTTGGCGTGGGTTTCCCCCATCGTCCAAACACATGCGCTATAGCTCAATTGGATGTAGTGTGTGTGTGTGTGAATGAGTGTGTATGGGTGTTTCCCAGCATTGGGTCGCAGCTGAAAGGCATCCACTGTTTAAAACCTATGCTGGATAAGTTGGCGGTTTATTCCACTGTGGTGACTCCTGATGAACGAAAGGACTAAGCTGAAGGAAAATGAATGAACAGCTATACCTAATAAAGTGGCCCGCTAGTGTATATCATCTTGCTAAATGACTGTTGCATGCTAATAGCACAAACATTTCCATGTAATACTGCTTTTTCAGTGTGACCTTATGTTAAGTTTTGCATTAATCTAAACCAAGCTCTCTCCAACTGTTTCTAATTCACTCTTCGGCTCCCGTTTGTTTTTAAAGAGAGTCAGTTTGTTGAAATTAGCAGTTAATGTTTCCAAGAACAGTGTTCATTTGTGCGCTGTGTGGTTCCCCGGATCGCTCTCACTCTCCCGTTTGATGTTGTTGATCGCGTTTTGCGTCCAGATTTTGCGGTCGTTTTACAGCCGCGCTCTTTGCATGATTCTTTGGTCAAGTAGGGGATGTTTGTGGGAGGTAATTGTGGACGGAATAGTTGGCCCACACACACTAAAGGAAAGACCCAACACATGCCATAACCGCAGCTGACATGACCAAACAGCTGCTGATGCTTGAGAAAGACATGAGAATATAATGGGAACATTTCAGGACGATGACTGTGCAGTGTAAGATCAGCCAGCTCAGCGGATGCGTATGTGTATGTTTTAGTGCTGCACTATACAGTCAGAATGAGTCGCCCTCCTGTGGATTTTTCAGATATTTCCCAAATGATGTTGAACAGATTTAGGAAATTTTCACAGTATTTGCTACAATATTATTTCTTCTGGAGAAAGTCTTATTTGTTTTATTTCGGCTAGAATAAAGTTTAGAATATGTTTTTATTTGTTTTAAAGCCATTTTAAGCAACCCAGGCTCATTCTGAAAACATAGCTCTGTGGGCGTTTCTGGAGACGGTGATTTACGTGGCCGGAGGTACGTATGGCCACATTTGTTTTTTTGAGCGAATGCTACGGGGCGGTGTGACGCCGCTCCTCTTCTTCGCGCTCGTCGGCTGGGCTGATGGCTCACTTATCTCTGTGTGGAGGGCTCTCCTGCCGCAACCAGTTTGCCCGCTTAGCTAGTAGTAGGTGGAGGAGGAGGAGGAGCCACCCAGGGCGACGACCGGCCTCGAGTCCGGGGAAGAGCGCTTATAGAAATCAGGTAAGATGAAAAACAGAATCCAAAAAAATAAAGGCGAACGAGTTCTTGACGGGGCGAGAATGCGGCGAAATCTAAAAACTCTCTCAAAATCGGGCGAGGGCTTTTGCTTTTCTTTTCTGGACGGCTTTTGTAAACCATCACTCGGGTTTAGGGAAGGAGAAGGAGGGCATCTGGGTCGGCCGATCATTCAGTCATTCGGCCAGTCGGACAGACAGTCGCTCGACAGGCTTTCCGACGGCTTTTCGCGTGAGAACGGCGTGCGCTCCCGAGAGGCGTTCGAGACGCACAACGGCCTCTTGCGGATTCGCATTAACAAAAACTGCACAAATACGTACCTCCCGGGACATATTCCGCGTTCTCCAGAAACGTCCACGGGGCTACATTTCCACAATGAGCCTGGGTTGATTTTAAGGTCAATATTATCAGCCCCCTTCAGCAATATTAGTGTTGGATTGTCTCCAGAGCAAACCACTGTTATACAATGACTTGCCTAATTACCCTAACTTTACCCTAATTACCCTAGTGAAGCCTTTACATGTCACTTTAAGCTGAATACTAGTGTCTTGAAGAATATCTAGTCAAACATTATTTACTGTCATCATGGCAAAGATAAAAGAAATCAGCTATTAGACATGAGTTATCAAAGTATTATGATTAGAAATGTGCTGAAAATTAATAGTATTTATGTTAAACAGAAATTGGGGGGAAGTATACATGGGGCTAATATTTCTGACTTCAACTGTAAATGGTTTTAGCATAAAGTTTGCAATGTGCACATCTGCAATAGTCACATCGCAAGATCTGCAATGTCGAATCAGGATTATGCACACACGAATGTGAAGTAATCGCAAAGTTTAACCATAAAGTTACCAAAATATCGTATCATTTGCATGTCTGTGTACACATGTAAATCCAGGATTGTCCACGAACTGAGGAAACCGGCGCGTTTGCTAACTAGTATTATATATTAATGCTTTCTCAACTTGTAATACTGCGTTTACGACATTTGTCAGTGAAATAACGCCACGTGCACGTATGTCCATTACGCGAATGTACTGTGTTCTGCCATTTTCATCTATTTTCCGCTTTTCCGCTGCGCATCAGGGCGTAACGTTACTGCGAACCAGGCTGGGCCGGACCTCGAGCTCAGAGGCTGAAATCATTCCACGTTCAAAGTAAAAACTTCCAATAGCCGGAGGGCGATTAATGACTACACGCGCATATATTCACCAACCACGAACAGGAAATAGAACTGCTGTATTTTTTATTTGTTCATGTCTTGCTGGCGAAAAGTTTGTTGTGATGCAAGCGTCACTGAACATGTACTGAGTAAAATTTTACTGAAAATGTATTAGTAATGCCTTGCACTACTGCGTTACAGGAAAAAGTAATATGTTACTGTAATATAGGGGTCACCAATCTCAGTCCTGGAGGGCCGGTGTCCCTGCAGGGTTTCGCTCCAACTTGCCTCAACACACCTGCCTGGATGTTTCAAGTATACCTAGAAAGACCTTGATTCCCTGCTGAAAAATCCAGCCTAAACCAGCCTAGTTTGGTTGGTTGGTTTTAGCTGGTCGACCAGGCTGGTTTTAGAGGGGTTTTGGCCATTTCCAGGCAGGTTTCCAGCCATTTCCAGCCTGGTCTTAGCTGGTCAGGCTGGGAGATGACCAGCTAAAACCAGCTAAATCTAACTTAAACAAGGCTGGTCAAGCTGGTTTTAGCTGGATTTTGCTGGTCAGTTTCCAGCCTGACCAGCTAAGACCAGGCTGGAAATGGCTGGAAACCAGCCTGAAAATGGCCAAAACCCCTCTAAATCCAGCCTGGTCGACCAGCTAAAACCAGCCAACTAGCCTAGGCTGGTTTAAGCTGGGTTTTTCAGCAGGGTTAGCTTTTTCAGGTGTGTTTGATTAGGGTTGGAGGACTTTTGTAACGCATTACTCCCATCACTGTTCACAAGTGAACATTTTTGGAAAAGACTCTTTTTAGTTGACTATAAAGGCTGATTTATACTTCTGCGTCAATCGCACTCATATGCTACAGCGCTGCCTATGGTTGACGCATAGCCCTACGCCATGGCCGTCGACGTCACTGACGTGCACTTCTCAAAAAATGTAACTACACGTCGCAATGACGCATTGCACAAGCTCTGTGATTGGTCGGCTTGGTAGTGCTGACGAGTCTGGGCGGGGCCGAGAGCCGCGCGAATGGCGCGAGCGATTGTTTACAAGTGTGGAGTCCCGTGAAGGAGCTCCGGATGTAAAGTTTTGTTCTGTGTTTACCTCATAGTTAAAGTTGTTGCACGTCCGCCGGTTCCTGCCTCAAAATGAGCGAGTTTGAGCCACTTGTGCATTCAGGAAGCGTTCAGAAAAAAACTAAATACCAGCGAAGAAACTCGACACAGAGACACATTTACACCTCACTGCCAACTAGCGTTTTGGAAGTGTTAATGAAGACCAATAGAGACAGCGCAGAAGTATAAATGCACAGCTACGCACGTTGCATGCGCCGTGGGTTATGCCCCTTTCACACGGGGCTTCAGCGTCAACTCCTGACTGAAGGCGTGTCTGAAGTTGGGGCTGAAGTGATCGTCATAGCAGCGTCAGCCAATGAAATTCAGTCAGCAATAGGCCACTGTCTAGCTGGTGTATTTGCATACAGCGATCTGGTTGGCTGACGCTTCCGTCGGTGCATGAAATCTGAGCTAGTCCTAACTTCTACAGCAAGCAACGCCTCTGAAGGGGCGCCGACGGATCCACAATGCAGTTCGGCAACGCCTGACGTCACCCATTCAAAGTGAATGGAAAGCGTTGACCCGTGTGAATGGGGCGTTACGCCGGTCACTTGACGTAGAAGTATAAACCAGACTCAAGTAATATATTATATCCTTAGTGGGTATAAAAAGTATATATTTTAAAAGTCAGAAAAGCTTTCAAATTATAACCCCATATAAATTTCCCTCTGGTTTTTGTCTTGTTTTTTATTTAATTTAATTTATGTATTAAATTTTTTTAAATGTAATATGCATAATGTAACACCATCGCTCTATGTTATTTTCTGATGTTTCAAAGTTGTTGCAATCTTTTATTGTTAACTGTTTAGGAAATCAATAATAAATAAAATGGCATGTCATGCAGATGCACTCCAATATACAAAATCATCCTATTATCAACATCCAAAATGGTCCTAAAATTATTTATTTATTCTTTTTTTAAATAATAGAGCTATTCATTTCATCCGTTAAAATTATAATCAAAATGCATTGCAAAAAAGATCTGAAATATTGTGATGTCAGTTGAAATGATAAATAGATCTATATAACAGCAGTGGAAGAATGTAAGGAGCAGGAAATGAGAGATATTGTTTGGAGGCGAGCAGGATTACTGTCAGTGGAAAAGCAGAAAGAGTGGAAAAGTATTATGTCAGAAGGCCGATATAAATACCTTGTGCTCTTCTTGAGGTGGAGGGACGGGTTAACACGATACGCCACAGCTTCAGGCTCGGACCCGCTGACCCGTCTCACCCCTGAAGACTCGGACAAGCGGAACTCCTCCAGCAGGTCATAAGCTAAAAATAAAAGCAGATGGAGCGGGAAAAATCAAGTCGGATTTCGCTTCAAACTGCTTTACAAAGACTCAAAGCAACCTATGACAGATTTCAAAAGATTTCACTGTGGATTTTCAGTGGACTTGCTTTGAGTTTGTGTTTAGGTCCATATGAAATGTAGATGGATTCAAATAAAGAAAAACTGCAGGTAATTAAGCGTACATCATGTTTCATTCATTCACTTTTCTTCGGCTTAGTCCCTTTATTTATCAGAAGTCGCCACAGCGGAATGAACCGCCAACTAATCTAGCATATGTTTTACACAGCTAATGCACTTTCAGCTGCAACCCAGTACTGGGAAACACCCAAACACTCTCATTGTCACACACACTCATGCACTACAGCCAATTTACCTTATTCAGTCTACCTAAAGGCATGGGTTTGGACTGTGGGGGTCCGTATTATGTGATTCACAAGTGTTTTCCGTGTATTGATGGTTGAAAATTGCATTTTGGGACCTTTATCTCTGCTTTTGTTGTTGAAAATTAAACTCTAAAGTTCAACAAAGTGACTTTTATTGACAGATGCCCTTCCAGCTGCAACCCAACACTGGAAAACACTCACACACTCTTGCACACACACACATGCACTACGACCAATTTAGCTTATTCATGTCAAACCGGAGCACCATGAGGAAACCCACGCCAACATGGGGAGAACATGCAAACTCCACATAGAAATGCCAACTAACCCAGCCAAGGCTCGAACCAATGACTTTTTTGCTGTGAGGCGATCGTGCTTCCCACTGCACCACCATGCTGCCTGTTTGCAATCACTTACCTTAAAACAATGTAGTAAATCCCATGCTTCTTTTTACAGTGTATATACTGGTATTGCTATACTTGTGGGGTCATTTGCACCCTACAATGAGAGGAACTTAACATACACACACACAGTGCACTGAAAATCCAGAAATGGCTTAAAGTGGTCCGTGCTGCCCCCTACTGGTCAATAAGACGATCAGACATACTCTCTCAAATGCTTTTATCAGACAATTCTCTTAATCGAAACATCTGAGCCGCATCTCCTTTACACACATCCTCACGGGATGCTAAATGTTCTGCTCGGTTAAATTCTTACTTGGCAATTCCTGACAAATGATGAGGCCGAAGACAGCCAGGAGGACAGAGAGAACCAGCATTTTGATCAAAGCTGGAACTGTGGAGACCAAAGGCTGTCAGGATTTAAATGTGCCTGTAAAACACAGAAAGATTGAATAATAATAAACAACTGACGAATTTAGCATATTAAGTGCTAATTTAGTGTTCGATAAATAGCTGGACTTCAATAACTGAAATACAGTATATCATATTCAATACGCTTCAGATTGAAATGACAATTTTCACAAAATGATAAGCAACAGTGTGCAGAACTGGCAATATTCTGCTGTTAATGCAATGCAAAGAAGATATTTAGCATGCAGTTCTTTTCCAAACACATTTGAAATGGCTGTGAATTAAGCAATATCGGTGAGATTCACTTCATAAACAGAAGCTTAATAATTTGCTTCAACCTAATCGCATGAATTGTTTAGTAAAACACACATGCACAAGGTCATTTCTTTAAGATGAAATATTTCTGCTGTTTCTATTTTACTGGATTACACTTTAAAAATGCAGGAGTCCACACAATTCCCTCATGTTGTCCACAACACAAATCGGTTAATTGACTTCAATAGTTTTTACAGATTTAACTGGGTTGAACATAAAACATTTAAGTTGCCCCACAAAAAACTAAAGCATTGTGCTGGGTCAACTCATATTAAATAAGTAGCTTGAATACAGTTTCTACACTGTTAAAAAAAAAAAAAAAAGGAATTTTAGGGTTTATTTCCAGCAGCTGGAGTGGCGAAAAAAAAATGGCCGTTAAATTAAAGAAATTTACCATAAAAAAAAAATGGATATAAAATTTGAGAAATTAACAGTAAAAAATGGATATTAAATTAAAGAAATTTACCATAAAAAATTTAAACGAATATTAAATTAAAGAAAATTATCTGTAAAAAAAAAGGATATTAAAATATACCATATAAAATGGATATTAAATTAAAAAAATTTACCATAAAAAATGGATATTAAATTGAAGAAATTTACCATAAAAAATGAATATTAAATTAAAGAAATTTACCATAAAAAATTAAAACGAATATTAAATTAAAGAAAATTATCTGTAAAAAAAAGGATATTAAAATATACCATATAAAATGGATATTAAATTAAAGAAATTTACCATAAAAAAGGATATTAAATTGAAGAAACTTACCATAAAAAAATGGATATTAAAATAAAGAAATTTACCATAAAACAATTAAAACGAATATTAAATTAAAGAAAATTATCTGTAAAAAAAAAAAGGATATTAAAATATACCATAAAAAATGGATATTAAATTGAAGAAATTTACCATAAAAAAATGGATATTAAAATAAAGAAATTTACCATAAAAAATGGATATTAAATTAAAGAAATTTACTGTAAAAAATAGATATTAAATTAAAGAAATTTACCATAAAAAACGGATATTACAGAAATTTACCAGAAATTTATATTTAAGGTAATTTCTGTAATTTAATCATTATTTTAAGTATAAATTTCTCTAACTTAACGGCCGTTATTTTCCTTTTTTTTTTGCCACTAGCTGCCGGAAATAAAGCTTGAAAGTACGGATTTTGTTTACAGTGTAGTTTACAATACTGTGACAATCACTACTAAAAAGCACTAACACACATACAGATACTATACATAATACAGTACAGCTCTGCTTTCCGACTTAATCCACATTATGCTCATTATCGAGTGATATTTCTCCATCAGTATAGTCGAAGCTCCATCTTAAATGAACTAAAGCAGTTTCTTTAACTATATCTTCAATAAACATGCAAAAATGACTTACATATTCTTGTGAAGCAGTTCACTGCAGATATTGTTTCCCCTGGCTGTTCCAGCAGTGATCATAAAGGCAGTTTTAAAGAAGCATCTCTGGTCCCAACATCCCCTTCAGCCTGATCCTTTTCAGAAGAAACCTTGATCCATGAGCTCCACTCCACCCTCAGGCCCAACAGGCCCTTAGCACATTATCCTATGCAAACACTGACCTCCACATTCTTCACACAATCCTCCGGCTATCAGACACGGCCATTTAGAGGCACTTTTAATGCATTTTGATGCGTTTACATGTGATTCAGGTGGGTTGTGGTGTGTGTGTACAATACATGTGTTTACATTGATTATATTTAAATGTAAATTGCGTATAGTTGTTTCCAAAATATGGCACGTAAAATTTATTATTAATGACATAATAAATTGGAAATCCAACCCAAATATTAACTCTCTAGACATTGCTCAACCTATTAGATGAACTTGTCGATAGGATAAATGTAAATTATATTTAGTTGTTTCCAAATTTGCATGTAAAATCCATAATTAATGACAAATAAAATTTAAAAAATGCAAATCCAACCCAAATGTTAACTCACTAGACACTGCTCAACCCACTAGCTGAATTATTTGGTAGGTTTTATTTGTATTAATCCTAATATTCTGGGTTTCACATAATATATTTGCATGGGGGAAAAATGAAGAATTTTAGTTAATTTATTAATTTGTACAAACGTAAGTTGATTAAACATAAACAATTAAGTTGTCCCAAATAAAAATGCAAGAATTGAGTTAAAGCTATTATTTAAAAGAGCAGTTTGAACAAACAGAAAACATCATATGTTTGAGTGTAGTAGTTTCCAAAACTGGCATGTAAAATCCATGATTATTGACAAATTAAGTAAATAAATTGTGAATTCAACCCAAATTTTAACTCACTAGACACTGCTCAACCTATTAGTTGAATTATTTGATAGGACATGCATGAGCATGTAAAATTTGAGATTGATTAATTAAATTAGTAAATACAATAGAAATCCAACCCAAATGTGAACTCGCTAGATACACAACCTATTAGCTGAAGTATTCGATAGGATTAATGTAAATTGTATTTAATTGTTCGCAATTTGGCATGTAAAATCCATCATTAATGATCAATTAAATAAGTAAATAAAATGGAAATTCAACCCAAATGTTAATTGTATAGACATAGTTTAACTTATTTGCTGAATTATTCAGTAGGACAGATGTAAATTGTATTTAGATGTTTCCAAACCGGCATGTAAAATCCCAACACAATCTCACGGCAATTCGTAACTTTTTCATTTAGTGGCTAATTCGTATGAATTCGTACGATCTAATTCGTACAATTTAGTATGATTTGCTTATCCCCCAATGACGGTTGGGGTTAGGGGTGGGGTCAGGTGCCACGCCTCCTTTTTAAAATCGTACTATTTCGTACGACTGAACTCGCACGAATTCGTACGAATTAGCCACTAAACTGACAAAACGTAAAATACTTACGTTTTCTCGTGAGATCAGGCTGAAAATCCACCATTCATCGTTAGATAGACAACCCATTAGCTGAAAAATTCAATAAGATTTATATAAATCGTATTAAGTTGTTTACAAACTTGCGTGTAAAATTTGCGACTGACAAATTAAATTAGTAAATACAATAGAAATCCAACCCAAATGTGGACTCACTAGATACACAACCATTAGCTGAATTCTTTAATAGGGTAAATGTAAATTGTATTTAGTTGTTTGCAAACTGGCATGTAAAATCCATCATTAATGATCAATTAAATAAGTAAATAAAATGGAAATTCAACCCAAATGTTAACTCTATAGACATAGTTTAACTTATTTGCTGAATTATTCAATAGGACAGATGTAAATTGTATTTAGATGTTTCCAAACCGGCATGTAAAATCCCAACACAATCTCACGGCAATTCGTAACTTTTTCGTTTAGTGGCTAATTCGTATGCATTCGTACGATCTAATTCGTACAATTTAGTACGATTTGCTTATCCCCCAATGACGGTTTGGGTTAGGGGTGGGGTCAGGTGCCACGCCTCCTTTTTAAAATCGTACCATTTCGTACGACTGAACTCGCACGAATTCGTACGAATTAGCCACTAAACTGGCAAAACGTAAAATACTTACGTTTTCTCGTGAGATCAGGCTGAAAATCCACCATTCATCGCTAGATAGACAACCCATTAGCTGAAAAATTCAACAGGATTCATGTAAATCGTATTAAGTTGTTTACAAACTTGCATGTAAAATTTGCGATTGACAAATTAAATTAGTAAATACAATAGAAATCCAACCCAAATGTGGACTTACTAGATACACAACCATTAGCTGAATTCTTCAATAGGATTAATGTAAATTGTATTTAGTTGTTTGCAAACTGGCATGTAAAATCCATCATTAATGATCAATTAAATAAATAAATAAAATGGAAATTCAACCCAAATGTTGAACTCAACTCGATAGACATTCATTCATTCATTCATTTTCTTGTTGGCTTAGTTCCCTTATTAATCCAGGGGCGCCACAGCGGAATGAACCGCCAACTTATCCAGCACATTTTTACGCAGCGGATGCTCTTCCAGCCACAACCCATCTCTGGGAGACACACACACACACACAATTCACCTGTACCGCATGTCTTTGGACTGTGGGGGAAACCGGAGCACCCGGAGGAAACCCACACAAACGCAGGGAGAACATGCAAACTCCACACAGAAACGCCAACTGAGCCGAGATTCAAACCAGCAACCCAGCGACCTTCTTGCTGTGAGGTGACAGCACTACCTACTGCGCCACTGCGTCGCCTCAATAGACATTGTTTAACTTATTTGCTGAATTCTTCAATAGGATTAATGTAAATTGTATTTAGTTGTTTGCAAACCGGCATGTAAAACCCATCATTAATGATCAATTAAACAAGTAAATAAAAAAGAAATTCAACCCAAATGTTAACTCACTAATATTACAATTTGGAATTATAAATTATAATTTTATATTAATATTATTAATTATTAATTCGATAACGTAAATTGTATTTACATTGAATAATATGCTGGGTTCCACATAATCAGTTTGCGTTGGGAAAACATGAAGGAATTAACTTATTAGTTTGTACAAATTTAAGTTGATTAAACATAACAAAAAAATAACAAACTCAAGATTTGAGTTAAAAATGGATCATTTAAAAGGGGAGTTTGAACAAACAGAAAACATAGTATTACTGAGTGTGGTTGTTTCCAAATTAGTAAGTAAAATGGGAATCCAGCACCAACTTTAACTCACTTGATAATGCTCAGCCTATTAGCTGAAGTAGTCAACAGGACAGGCACTAGAAATAATACAAAATAAAAGTCCAGCCATCTCTGTAAAGTCTCCGGTAGACAGTGGATCTCTGTCTAGATAGGAGACAGATGTAGTATGTCACGGGTAGACACTAGCAGAGCTCTGCAAACATTCTGCACTCACTCGCTCCCTTTATATTCACCACAGGCCACAGTGTGAACGTGGTGTTTAAAGAGATATTCAAGCAGAACAGCATTTAAAACAGGAACATGCATTTAAAAGACTGCACTGCACAAAAATGCTTCTCTTACTTGGAGTTTTTGCCTTGTTTTTGGTTCAAATATCTTAAAACTTCTTGCATTTTCTATCAAGTAACCATTTTTGTCTTGTATTTATTAGTCAAAATTAAGAAAAGTTTTTCCATTAAACAAGCAAAATAATCTGCCAATGGGTTAAGCAGAATACTTTTATTTCAATACATAAAGTAGATTATTTGGTTTACCGCATTGGTTTATGAAAACTAACTATTATTTGCTCGTCTTTAATAATTTTTGGATATTTGGACTAGAAGCAAGACAAAAACTCTTAGTAAGAAAAGCCGTTTTTGCAGTGTGAGTCAATACGCTTCAACTTAGTGACATTTTTAATTCAGAACAAGAAAAAAAACCCTGAAAACATTATTATTTTACTAATTCGCTGCTGTTTCATTTTAAAAATGACATGCACAGACTGGTAATAAAGTAAAATGTTAAAACCAAATTCATTAGTGCTTCATAAATATAGTTTAATGGGGTTTAGGCCTGTTTCGTTTGTGACAATTTAAAATAAATTTAATATAATACCAAGACAAAATGTGCAAAAACCACCTTTGGGGTGGATCAGCTTGTCTTTGTGGAAGAGCCATTGTCCATGTTTTACTATAGGCCACTGAATCGGACCTTTAAAAACACGATTGCATTGCAGAATAAGGTCAATAAAACTGCTATGGAAAATAAGCAACAGTACGAAGATTCTTCTTCAGAAACGAGCTAATTTCCTGAAGATGTTTGATTTCTGTACAGATAGAGTTACTGTTAGTTGATTGTCACTATACTGAATACAATAAATTAACACTTTATCACCTAGTACCGGGTTGGACCCCTTTTACATTCACAACTGCCTTAATCCTTTGTGGCAGAGACTCAACAAGCTACTGGAAATATTCCTCAGAGATTTTGCTCCATATTGACTTGATAGCATCACACAGTTGCTGCAGATTTGTCGGCTGCACATCCATGATGCCAAACTCCCATTCCACCACATCCCAAAGGTGCTCTATTGGATTGAGATCTGGTGACTGTGGAGGCCATTTGAGTACAGTGAACTCATTGTCGTGTTCAAGAAACCAGTCTGAGATGATTGAGCTTGAATCATATGACATGCTGCGTTATCCTGCTGGAAGTAGCCATCAGAAGATGGAGACACTGTGCTCATAAAGGGATGGACACGGTCAGCAGCAATACTCAGGTAGGCTGTGGCGTTGACACCATGCTCAATTAGTACTAATGAGCCCAAAGAAAATCTCCCCCACACCATTACACCACCACCAGCAGCCTAATCTGTTGATACAAGGCAGGATGGATCCATGCTTTCATGTTGTTGAAGCCAAATTCTGAGCCGAGCATCCGAATGTGTCAGCAGAAATGGAGACTCATCAGAGCAGGCAACGTATATATAACTATTGCATATACTATCATCGCCATAACAATACTTTATTGATACATTGTGCAGCGCTAGTTTAAACTATATAACTTTTGCATATACCATTATCACGATAACGATACTTTTGCAATATATTGTGCAGCG